CGATTTTACCCCACAAAGCCTTTTATTTTGGTTTGTGCCAACAACACCATCTTCGCTAATAGAAACTCATGCCAAACGTAAAGCAACATCTTCCTCACAGGTCCAATTACGACATCTAACATGCTCTTTTGCCATCTTAGAAAAATTGAAAATGGGAGAAAGAACAATTGGAAGAATTGTAGGAGAAAAGTGAGTTTTGTGTGGATGTTTGAACAAATACATAGGTATTTATAGAGTTTTTGGGTGAATTTTAAGTTAAATAATTTTTTGTTAATTATTTTAGCCATTAGATTTAAATTTAGACCATTAGATCTTTTTTTTATATAGATAGATTTGATTATATTCGATCTCAGTCATGGGATTCAATAAATATAAAATTAAAAAAAGTTTGAATCTAGGCCATTGGATCAACCAGCAGCCTGTTGATTCCATCCGTAGGATCAAAAAAGTCGTTGGCTCGCTGAGGAATGTGGCCGACATGCCCACGTGGGTGGGGCACAGTTGGTGTGAATGCTTGTGCATCATGTGCGCTGGCGAGTGGGCGGGGGGTATTTGGCACACACCGCTCGGTTCAGTCAAATTGGTAGGGCCCACACAAAATTCTGGGCTAAAATCTAGGCGGAATTTGGCTTTATATTCGCTTTTAGGTTTTAGCCCACACATTTAGCTTGGGTTGGGTTTTTTTTTTGGGGGGGGGGGGGAATAAAAGCTAAAATTTAGCTTTTAACCCAGGGTTGGGGAAAGCCTAAGAGTTGGAATAGGTCTAAGGTTTTTTTTTTTTCCCGGGGGGGGGGGGGGGGGTGTGGGAATAAAAGCTAAAATTTAGCTTTTAACCCAGGGTTGGGGAAAGCCTAAGAGTTGGAATAGGTCTAAGGTTGTTTTTGAATCATCTTCAGTCCCACTCTAGCATGGCTCTCACACAAGTGAAGATGCAACCCATCAACTTCACTGCCCTTTTCTCTCACCACCCTTATGAACCCAGTTCCCGTTTGAACAATTTAATCCAATTCAAATCAAAACCAAACCCAATTAAATTCATAACCTTACTAAAACAAAGGATATATTAACTTACAAAAAAATGATTAAATAATAATTCAGCCATCAAATAAACATTTGACATGTATTTTTTGATATCTATATTGGAGATGCTCTAAAATGGTCAAAAAATCAGACCCCAACTACTCAAGATCAATATTAAAATATGAAAGACGATTAATATTTCGGATGATAAACAAAATGGATCATTTCAGTAATTGGAATTTGAAACACGATTTTGGCTAATTTTTCAAAAAAGTAAAAAAAAAAAAAAAAAAAAAAAAAATTATTGTGTGATGGTGTTTGTCGATGGAACTGAGTTCCTTGTAGTACTCAGTACCCATAAACTCATTTTCCATCGTGGGAGTATAACAACAGCAGATTGAGACTCAAGAGAACGAAACTTGTCCAACGCTGGAATGGTGGACTGTTGGTAGACAACAGAGTAGTGAACCGGGTTTGAATCGGGTTCTCTCCAGCTAGGCTGATGGGCTGCTTTGGGGCGGTAGAGTCAAACTAGGCTTTTACTGAACACCTCGTCGCTCTGTCTTGGTTTGGATTTGTTGCGGATCCATATTGGAAAAGAAGGATTCAAACGCTAGACATTGGATACAGAGGTAAGCCCTCTTAACGAGTTGAGCAACAAGTTGCCTTCTGTTTTGGATTGTGGAATTGTTTGACAATGGTTTCGCTGTGTGTTTTGTATATAGGAATTGGTGGAGAATGACAAGTGACATGGGAATTGGGAAGGCTGCTTGAAACCATGGACCAATCAAATTACTAAAAAGTCTGAAACAGTTGGCTAAGAGTTTGAGTAGTTTTCATGGAGGATGAATGGTGTGAGTTTTGCATGTTAGAGAGACTAAATTTTGCAAACTAAATAACGTAGAAGTTGAAGATTGAATTATTACTTAAATATCGATTAATATGTTTATTTTTTATTGGAGACACATCATTTAGTTTGCATATTTAATCTATAAATTAGTCTTCCTGACATTTCTTGAGTTTTGACTCTCAGTGGGGCCTGAAATGGTTAATTCTTGGGTTCTGATTAGTCAGGACATGGCCTAACTAAATAGTAACACATGTCTATATTTTAATTCTCTATACTCACAATTAATCTTCTAAACTCAAAACCAACAACGTTATTCTTCTAACCAAATGTCTTTCTTCTTTCTCGCCAAAATTTCTCCAACCACCATCCTCTCCCACTAGCCACATACACCGTCCACTGTCCGCTCCCACCAGTTAAATGTTTGTCATTAGAGTTTTTTCAAACTTCGAATCCAACCATTTATACCAAATCGATAACAAATCCTCCATCAACCACATCCAAGTCTCATCCTTTTGCTTCTCTCCTGCGTCGACCCTGTCCCCAATCCAGCCTATTTTTCTCAATGCAACCATGCCACCAAGGAGAGGAAGCTAGCACAAGTTGTGACCAGTAAGCGAGTATGAGTAGAGGTGCTTCATCAGGGGAGAAGAATGTTGCATTATGAGGAAATGTCGGAGTTGGTTGTTTAGTTAGAACAATACTTGGGTACTCATCGAGAGTACCCAACATATTGACCATCATATCAAATGACACGTGTCCATTTTGAACTCACAAACACTTCACTAAAATTAGTTTCCGAACATTCTCTATTCTAATATCCAGATGTCATTCTTCTCCTTTACCAACCTTCATTGGATTTTCTTCTCCACCATCGTCATTGTTGGCCACTAACCACCCCTTTCACAACTTCCCCTTACGCATCTCCTTCTCTTTCTATCATTAGAGTGTGGAATTCTAAATAAACAATTTTCAACTTATAATCTTGTGATTTTCCACAAGCTGTAATTTTGTGAATTTCCAAACCCCAGTTTTACTAAGTGAGGGTGGGTTGTTGGGAAGATAGAATGGGGATGGGTCGCCGGAGAAGAGACTGGAGTGAGGGTGGGTCATTGGAGAAGAGGGGTTGCTGGAGAAGAGACATAGTGAGGTAATGTTGCTCTCTAGAGATTGAAGGTTGGGCAACGAAGGAGAAGAATGGCGTTTGGCAAGTGGAATGGTGAATCTTCCGCTATCAAAATAATGATGTTTGGTTATGTGTCTAGGGAGTTAAGACAGACTAGTGTAGTTTCCTACTTGTTCCATGTAACAAGGTCAGGATATTGGGTACTCACGACAAGAAAACATGGAATAGGTGAACAAATTTTATGTGGCGCCCAAAATTCGTCACATATTTTTTCTATATGTGACGAATTGTTTCAGAGCGTCGCGCATGACTATTTTTTTAGGTATGAAATTTGAGAACACTTAGGTGACGATAAATACATGACATACTCTAGAATGGAGTGAGAAAAATCATAAGCGTCACTTAAAATTATTTTATATCTTTTAAGATGAAAAAGTGGTGACACAAATTTTTTGAAGTCCTTACTAAAATCTATGGCGAGGAACAATGGCATCCTAACGAAGTATGATATGTGAGAAATTGCAAAGGGTCACATACGTGTATTCTCGGTGACGAAAGTGATTGATCACTTTTCCAACAGTAAATAAATAAAAAAAGAAAAAGAAACATAGTAAAGTATTATACAAATTTGAGAAAGCCCATCTAAATTCTAACCGTTCTCTTTCACTTTCACTTTTCAGACTTCTCCCATTTCTCATCACTGTGACCCAAGCCAACCGACGCATCTCTTAATCTTCTTCTCTCTCTACCGCGACATTACCGGGATCTCTTAATCTTTGGGGATTATTCAAATGATTTATTTGCACATATGGAGGCTTTAATAAGTTGTTTTATTTGGTCTTTCTATTTCAATTTTTGTTTCTTATGAACTTGCAAGTTGGTATTTTTTTCTGGGCTTATTGGTTTTACATGGTGATTGAAGGTACAAAATTTTGAGTTGGTGATACCATTTATTGAAAGGGAAGTTGTGTGATTTGGCTTTGAATTGCTCTGAAATTTGAACCATAATTCTTTTTAAGTGCTCTGTATTTGAAAAAATATTGAAAATGGTCTCCTGGGCAAGCAGAATGATTTCCCCCATCATAGATGATTTTCTTTCTTCTAATTATTAGTGGCAATGTCTTTTCTGTTTATTGGTGTTATTATTTGGAGTCCTAGAAAACCATGAAAAACTATATAAAGAAGGATTTAAGAAACGCATATATTTCTCCTATATATATATTTTCAACTGCTCAGTTCTGTTTAAGCATTGGCTTTTACTTCCTTTTAAATTAGATACAAAATAGTTGAAAGCTTATGTCATAGTTTGATTAGTATGACTTTGCACTGATCTTTTAAGTAATTCTTCCAACTAGTGACCATATGACTTGCTCAAAATTCATCCAATGTTTTTTTTCTGTCTTCTATTGGCTGGAGGCCATTACCTCATGTGAATATATCAATTGGGTTGTTTAGTAAGAGCACAACCACCTTTGTAATACCAAAGTTGGTTTCACTTTGGTTGTATGAGATCTAGTGCAGAGTAAAATTTTAATTATTGAAAACTTTATCTGCATGCAACAAATGGTAGACTAATTTAGATCTTCTTTATGCCTCTTTTGCCTATTTTTTGTACTAAGCACACTAATGATTTTATTTCCAAAGTAATTTATTGTTGTGATTGTGTTGTTTGCAGGTTGGTCATGGTTTTTGACAAGGGTAGTTCTCTTGCTTGTGTTTTTAAACCAAGATGTTGTCGGCATAGGCTTTATACTCTGCAAGTTTTGGGAATCAGATACGCCAAAAGAAATGAGGATATGATAGCACAATTGAAGGGTTGCAAGCCTAGGGCGGACCCACAACATCTCCAGGGGTAGTGACATCAATTTAGCCTTCATTAATAGTGATATCAATTGATCTTTATAAAAGCTGAATGTTTTAAAATTACAGTGAATAAGTAGTCTATGGTATGAAACTAGATATGTTTTTTTTGTTAATTAATGGCCTTTTAATGTTGGATTTTTCAAGCAAAATTCATATAATCGTAAGAAACAAAAGTATTACCACAAGGGAGGGGCAAAACCATTTCATCCAACATGCAAGGAAGGCTCGCAAGGTAATGAAATTAAAGTACATATAAAACTCATTGTGTAATTTAGATAGGCTCGCCTATTATGTTTCGTTCTTCTTACTGTTAACTATTCCTTCAATTCCTATTTTCTTCTCTTTGTTATTCAATTTCTCAATGCACCTGCTATTCTCTAGACACCAATGTTTTTTTTTCTTCTCTTTTATTATGTAAGGATAAGATTAAGAAAAAGAAGGATGGAGTTAAAGGAGAAAGTATTCAAGAAGCACTTGAGGTAGTGATGGTGATCTTTCAAATGACAATGATACATGTGCTAAACTAAAGATCATGACATGGCTGATGACTTATATTATGTATTTTATTGTTGGTTTCAAATATGCACACGGTATACCTGTTTTGTTACCGACTCAATGCCTTAGAATCTTGTTAGCATCTCAATATGTTTAGAGGTGTTAGGATGCTTATGTTAGCTTTTGAGATATAAACTTGTGTATATATTGGATGTAATCTAACTTATTGATCAATGAAATGTGATTAACTAAAGTATTGCCTCTAATTATTATGAATTCTAATTCTAGATGACGAAGCAGGGAATATGTGGTAATTGGTTTGTCATGAATTTTTCCTAATAGGTTTATGATTTTGACACATGTGACAAAAATTGCACCACATGTCAAAGGAATATGTGACGCTTTCAGTCTCACTTATTCTCAGCCATAACATTCTAGGATCAAATTGGGTGACGATAAATTCCTCACTTATACATTGTTATGTGACGAACTTATAGGTCATTGACTTTTATGTTTTGTGATGCTTCTTTCATCACAGTTAAAGTTATTAAGTGACGAATTTGGTGTCACAAATACTAAAATATGTGGCGAATGTAAAATTTGTCACATGAACTATAGGTGACCCTGTATAAGTGACAAACATAGTGACGTTGAATTTTCGTCACATATAATCAAATGTGACAAATTTTCATGTTTATGTGACGAATGTTTTGTCACCACCTAAGCCATGTTTTCTTGTAGTGGTGAGTACCTGTTGGTAGACTTTTATGTTAAGCTAGACTTGGGCTTTAGCTAGTAACATTTTGCTTCCCTTGGTTCATTTACATACCAAGTCTTAGAAAGTATCCTGGTTGATTATAAACTCAAAGATAGCATGTTTAAGCAAATAACGGCTTGCTTAGGTGAGGCGTGGTGTAGAAGCTAGAAGTTTACCAATTTAGCATGAGAGAGAACCTGTGCCTGGTTGCATGATTTTAAAGGGTGGGTAATTTTGGCTTCCTAAGGGTTTGTGGCTTAGGGAAACTCAAAAGATACCTAAAGGAAACCTTAGAACCCTAAAGGATGATTTCCCTAAGGATCCAAGACTGTCTGCACTTTAGAGAAGGATTCCCAGTTTGGTGTGATGCAATCCTGAGTCCTTTCATTTTTCTCTCTCTGTGTTACGTATCTCTCTACGTTTGTGTCTCATGTACCTTTATATAGGTGGAGGGTAGCTTTCTTGGATTTCCCTAGGGAATTCTTTGGTTTCCCCGTTTACTTATGTTTTAGCTAAGTCTACATTTCTCTTATTTCCTGGTACAGTTACAACTTGCTCTTTTAGCCTAACATTGGTGGACGTCTTCTTCCTTGGTTAGCCTTCCATATGCGCTGCTTCTGGCAATGCATCTCTTTGTTTCCTTCATCGTTGTCCTACATGAGATGGGAAGAAGGAAAGACCTCATCTTTCTTCAATAATGGGCACCCTGCACTAGGTTTTCATGTGAGCTGAAACCTTAAGTTCTCGTTCTTTTCTAACTAAATTAGTTGGTTTGCTAGTAAAAAAAAAAGGTTTTGGTTTGTTCTCTCTTAAACTGTCTACGTGGGTTTCAAAGTTTGTCGGCTTGAATCTTTGGTGCTCCCAAACAAACCCAAAGTTCCTTCCATAATTATGGATCCACATAGCACGATAATCTTCTGTGATCATCCATATCACAATCCACTGGCAAGTCCCAGCACTTCACTTGGGCTTACCTGAACGTGTATTGTAGTTAGCATGATTTGTCATGACGACAATGTCGTGTCATAGCTGACACAGTGCATACACATAGGCTTAGAGCTTGAGTGATTAAACAACTTTCTACTCATAAATTATTAATTTATTAGCATGGCGTGATTGAAATATTCTTCAATTTTGCAACTTGCATGTATTAACTCTTTGCTCAGGCTTCGAGATGTTATTAGACTTGACTGTGATATTTTTGGGCAACAGTACTCAAATAAGCATTTAGGCCAAAAAATTATTCTTGAGATGGTATAACTCTCACTTTTGGTTTATGAGATTTGAAATAGGTAGAAATGTTCTCTAAGTTTGTCTACCATCAATTATTTTGATCATTCCATGAAAAAAAACTCTGTTAATAAGGACTAAAATGACAAAAATACCCACGCAATTTAATAAACAATTGGTTCAAATGATTTGACAAAATTTGAGAGTATTTTTGTCATTTTCGTCTTATGTAGTGTAGGTTTTTCATAGAATGATCAAAATGATTCACGGTGGACAAAACCCAATGACCACTTCTATCAATTTTAAATCTCAGGAATCAAAGTGAGGAGTTATCCCAACCTTAGGATCATTTTGGCTAAAAAGTCAACCCAAATATTGCCTGTTTGGTTATGAATTTAAAAATGTTACTCTTACAACATATTTGTAACATCTTTCTAAGAGAATCTCCACCAGTTGGTGAAAGGTAAGGGCAAAGGCAACATATTGCCCTCCAAACCCAAAAAAAAACCCCTCTCCACCAATCCATAAAATCAAGGGCAGTGGTGAGCCAACCACTGCTAGCCTAGATGGCCAGCATGACATCATTATGACATCATGCTTTATTCAGCGTGTGTAACACACGCACCCAGGAAGAGAGGGGCCTTACAAATTATTAGAAATTAGAATGGTTTTTTACATTGTTTGTTTCAATTTCTAGTTGGTTATAGGACAAGGGTGTCTTCACCAAATTTTAAATTAATTATGTTTGTTGTAATGCTATACTTTTGCCTTATATTTGAAATAATTTAGTAGAATTAAACACTTGTTTTATTTTCAAAGTGTAAAAAAATAGAAAAATATTTACTGGCCTTGCCCTTTTCAAACTGGTGGAGGTGCACAAGGGCAACTACTATTCAAGTAATTAGTAGACCTACTTTAACCCTTGGAGTAAAACTAAAATTTTAGGTTCTAAACTTACCACAACTTTGCTGTCAACCCTTGGGGCAAATACGAGTTTTAACCAAAAACTCATTTCTAGGGCAAATTTAACTCAGGAGTCCTCCCCGGGGTAGTGGAGCTAGCACCACCATGTATGTGTATTTTTTTTAGTTTTATATTTATAAACACATTAAATCAAGCGACTATGATCTAATGTGATTAAATTCAATGAATAAAGTATAGAGGTAGGGCTCACCAACACACGTAGTAAATATGTGGTAAACATTGCATAGAGGTAAGGCTCACCAACACCATAAAACTAATATGATTAGCGATGAGACTCATGAGTGGTTATACAATATGTGGTAAATGTTGCATTACTTTATATTTTAGAGAGAATTTTGATTGACATCCATTTTTTTCACTTGAGGTCGATAAAATTTGATAGGCCTAAAATGGGGCCTTTGACCAGGAAATTACGTTGAAACGGGCCCACATGTTGAAGTGGCCGAATGTGATTGTTGTTTGCAAGAAAGAACATGTCACTTGGACACTAAGGATATGTCATTCCTACTCTTTCTCTGTTATTTGGCTATTCGCAAAGTTTAATTGGCTTTAGGCACCTATTAGAATAAACTAGGGGTAAAGACTTAAAATTTGCACAGCTTCATACAAGGAGATTCTTTTTCATCAGTTTTTGGCTAAAAGGCTGTATTTGGGCTTTCAAAAGGCAGCTTTACTGAACTGGACCGTGGATTTTGTAAACTAATTTTAAATTGCAAAAAATGATAATTTTAACTTGGTTGCATATGGTATTATGGTAGCACATTCGTTGTAGCAAATGTACATGTTCATCGAGATTAAAATGAAGTTGGCATAACCCAGTTTGAGCATTTGCCTCTCTTCTTCTTCTGATGAAGATGATGTGCCTAGGTAAGTATTTTCTCAATCAATTTTTCTTATGCTAATTTGAGGTAATAAAGTTATAAACTGGATTAAATTGTGTTTGATTTTTATTTTTGATTTGGTAAAATTGTGTTTGTTTGACATTAGCATAACTTCATTTACGAGCATCTTTTCTTTACAACCCTATTGGATAATCATTTCATTTTTAATTTTTAATTTTTACTTTTAATTCATTAAATACCCAGGTGGGTCCTAATAATGTAATAAATGTAGACAAGTTCTCTTGGGAAAATGATCCCCTCCGAATCTATTATACGAGGATCTTTGGGATTCTCACATTTCAGCCGTTTATCGTATATCGTAAAATTAGTTTTTATCAAGTACTTTTTGTGTTTAATTTAAAATAGGGTAAATTACACTTTACCATTTCAGCCTTAAGATCTATTGCAATCTCATACAATATCTTCAAAACATTTCACTTTCATATTATATTTCAATATAATATATCTGTTACATTTCCATTCATTGACCCGATCCGTTCCATATTGTGCCACGTGTTTACCCTATTTTAAAAATAAAAAAAAAATAAAAAAAACCTGAAACCCAGAAACCCCATTCCCCCGACCAACCTCCGTCTCCTCCGCTCTCTTCACCTCCCCTCTCATCCAGAAACCACCCCACCCCCACCTCCCCTGCAACCCCAAACAACCTCCCTCCCTTCTCTCTCAACAGCGACGGCGTCCTCTCCCGGTCGGAGCTCCGCAAAGCCTTCGAGTCCCTCTTCGCATCGACATGGGCACCCCGCTGGAGCAGCTGACGCAAGCTGTACGACTCCATATTTGACAAGTTCGACAGCGACCATAGTGGGACGGTGGATCTGGAAGAGTTCAGGGATGAGGTGAGAAGATTATGTTGGCCATCGCTTTTTAGCCACCACCTCTCATCCGACCCCCAACGCCATCAAAGCCTCCAGCAAGCCTTTTTCTTCTTCTTCATCAATCTCTCTGGGTTGCTCGACCAGGTAATTTCAAATTTACCTTTATTTTTTTAATTTTTTTTTTCTCGTTTAGGAATTTGGGATTTTGATCGATGAAATTACTCAAATTTACGGGGAGGGATATTGAACTTGAGTGCAAAGAGAGTATGAACTTCCAGCATACAGCTAGAATTTTTGGGCAACAATCCTACTATGAATCCGGCCGTAGCTGTTTTTGATGTTTCGCCTTTTCAAGCAGTTTTTGATGTATCAAATTCTGAGTTCAAACTTTGAGTAATGTCTCTGCTAACAATAGTAGCCAGTCTCCTATGACAGAGGAGTTCTTCTCGGCAGTGACCCTGGCTTGTTAAAAATATATTTTACTCCTCAAGCATTATCTTTTACTCCTCAACCTTGAGAATTACAGCCGTAGTTTCCCTTTAGTTCTGCATACAACTTAAAAGGGTAAATGTTGACGGGCAGGAAGTCACCAGATACTGACAGAAGATGGAGAAACTGGGACAATGTGTCTAGCATACCTACTGATGTCAAAGAAGTGAAAACCCGGACAAGGTGTCTAGCATTCCTACCGACATTAAAAGACCAGGTGAACCTGGTAATGTAGTATTTAACCTGTATTCAAGTGGCAACTTTGGTGGTTTAGATTCCCCTTTCTACTCTGATTTCGTGGTGAATTCAGATGAGTCTGAACTCATTAACGTCAGTGTAGGTGCTAGGACAGAGTCTATAATAGAACAGCCTTTCAAAATGGACTGAAAATGTTGGAAATAATGGAGGGATCAGCTCCGATATCAGATGTCAAAGAGTACAAATGTTGCTGTTGTGGTGGGAGATAATGGAGGGTTCAATTGTGGTTGGTTTAGTGAGACGGTTGAGAAATGTCTGCGAAAGATACTCGCGATAGGCCTACAATGGGGCATATGCTGTGGGACTTGGTTTAGTGACCATCCACATCACTATTCACTTGACAAGCTCTTACACTTGGCTTGAGCTTACATGAACGTGTATCATAGTTTGCATGATTTGTAAACGACAACAATGTGGTGTCAAAGCTTGACGCGGTGAATACGCATGTGCTTGGTGTGATAATACAAACATTCTTCCCATAACTTATTACTTTATTAGCATGGCATGATTGTAAATATTCTCAATTTTGTACCTTCGCATGTATTTACCCTTGGCTTGGGCTTTGAGACGGTTTTAGGCTTACATGTGATATTTTTTGCTTTAACAATACCCAAATAGGTACTTAGCCAAAACGGTCCCTAAGATTGGCATAACTCTTCACTTTGGTCTCTGGGATTTGAAATCGATAGAAGTGGTCTCTAAGTTTGTCCACCATTAATTATTTTGGTCATTCCATAAAAATCTCTATTAAAGAAGGACAAAAATGACAAAAAAAATGCCCCTCACTTTAACAATCAATGGGTCAAAATGATTTGACAAAATTTAAGAGTATTTTTGTCTTTTTCGTCTTATTTAGCTTACATTTTTTTTCACGGAATGACCATAATGATTGACGGTGGACAAATTCAGATACCACTTTTATTGATTTTAAATCTTATGAATCAAAGTGAGAAGTTCTACCAATCTCAAGGATCATTTTGGCTAAAACGTCAACCTAAATATTGTTTGGTTATAAATTTTAAAAATACTACTCTTACCACATATTTGTATCATCTTTCTAAGAGCGTTTTCACCGGTTGGTGGAAGGCAAGGGTCAAGGCAATAATGTTGCCCTCCAACCCAAAAAAACCTTCTCCAGCAGTCCATAAAATCAGGGGAAGTGGTGGACCAAGTCCTGCCAGCCCAGATGCCAACCTTCTTAAGTCCAACCTACTACCTTCGGACAAGCTAACATTAGCATGACGTCATGCTGATGCCAGAGCATATTTTAATTTTTTTGATGTCAAGTTACACACACCTAGAAGGAGAGTGGCCCGACAACCACTGCAGCAATGGCCTCGCTGCAACACATATCACAAAACCCTTCAATGGATAGCAATGTGACGAGTTATGGGCTGTTGGATTTCCAACAGTCAGAGGATCTCGATCGTTGGATTTCCCACCGTAAAAAATAAAAAATATTATTGTTAAGCCACGTGGCGCAATCTGGTGCGTCCTATTTCAGTTGGCTAAGAATAATCTACATTAAAAAAAAAATCTGAAAAAATAGGAAAAATTATTAAAATTTTGAATGATTTTTTATATTGTTGTTTCAGTTTCGTAGTTGGGTATATGATTAAGGGAGTTTTCACCAAATTTTAAATTAATTATGTTTGTCGTAATTCTATTCTTTTGCCTTATATTTAAAATAATTTAGTAGAATTGAACACTTGTTTATTTTTTTTTTTCAAAGCTTAAAAAAAAAAATATATATATATATATATATATATTTACTGCCCTTATCCTTTTCAAACCGGTGGAGGTGCACAAGGGCAAGTACTATTCAGAGTGGTAAGGGCAACGTACATGCCCTTGCCCTTGTCTTCCACCAACTGGTGGAGAAGCTCTAATAGATTTGAGACCCACATTTGCTCGTGAGCCCTATCTCTAGTAGAGAGATGGTACATATAATAATACAAATATGTGGTAAATGGAGCATTACATTTTTAATTTAGAGTTTTTAAAAAATAAAAATAAAAAGTAAAAAGGGGGACAAAGGGTGGCAAGCCACGGTTATCCATCCCTTCCGGGCCCGAAGATGCTATAGGGAATTTCAACCTGTCCGTGTCTATAGTCAAGTAGACTCACTAGCTCGAAGCATCGAACCCAAGAGAGAATTTTGATTGACAACTTTTTTTTTTTTTTTTTACTTGAGGTTGAGGCATACCTCACTAGGAAATTACGTTGAAATGGGCCCACATGTTGAAGTGGCCTAAATTTGTTTGTTGTTTGCAAGAAACGACATGTCAATTGGACTCATGAGGGTATGTCGTCCTACCCTATCTCTCTTATTTGGCTAAAGAGATTATATTCACACACTTCAAATTACTTCTTCCATAGTCTTTTAAATTTTTAATATCTTCTACTCACCACTATTAATTAATAGAAAAATATTAAAAAAATAAGAGTGAGAAATAATTTGGGATGTGAGAATATAATATTGGCTATTCGAAAAGTTCAGTTGGCATTTAGGCACCTATCAGAATAAACTAGGGGTCTTGACTTGAAATTTGCACAGCTTCGCAAAAAGGGGGATTCTTTTTCATCAGTTTCTGGCTAAAGGGCTATCGTTGGGATTTCAAAAGGTCGCTTTACTGAACTTGATAGTGTATTTTGTAAACTAATTTAAACTGCAAAAATGAAAATTCGAATTGGTTGCGTATGGTAGCACATTCGTTGTAACCAATGTATGTCTACATCAAAGATTAAAAGCTTTAGCCTTCTTACCCTGTTATGCCTTTTTTTCTCCTTTATTTACCTTATGAAGTTGGCATTGCCCAATTTCAGCATTTGCGTCTTCTTCTTCTAGTAGCTTCTGTCTTGAGGAAGATGATGTGCCCAAGCAAGTATTTTCCCAATCAATTTTTCTTATGCAAATTTGAGATAATAAAGTTATATACTGGATTAAGTTGTGTGTTCTGTTGGTTTGGCATTAGCGTAACTTCATTTACGAGCATTTTTCTTTACAAACCCGTTGAATAACCATTTTGTTTTCAACTTTTATTTTTTTGTTTTTGTATTCTCTTCTAATTTATTAAATATCTAGGTAGAGTCCTAATATTGCAGTAAATGTAGTCAAGTTCTTTGTTCTCATCCAAATGCAGAAGAACAGTAAGAAGCAGTCACCAAACTTGATGCTAGTGGAAGATGCATCAGTCAATTATGTAGTTGTCCTTCACAAGAAACAAATAAAACACCCAAAATATCCTCTCCTGTATATCTACAGCCTATCAAATATAAAGGGTATTTCCAAGAATCTACCGTTATTTTCCCTTGATTTTTCAAGTGGTTGGCATTTCAACTTCAAAGTCCACCACTTGTTCTGTTCCAAGTCTTCCTACTTCAATAATTTACATGGTCACTCAGATACAACTCCATAGCCTAAACACTCGCAAAATTCAGCAACTCCATCAAATTTTCATGGAAAATCTTCGTATCCGTAAAACCCCTCTCCCTCTATTTTCTGTGATTGTTTTTCTCCTCCATCTCTCATCCCTTCACTTTCCCTCGTTGGCTTATGAGCCCCCTGATAAGTACTTCATCAACTGTGGGTCAAATGCTAATGCCACCCTCAATAGCCGTGTCTTCATTGCAGATCGTTTCTTCCACTCGAAGGCGAGCAACGGTATCAATGGCGGCAACCAGTCGAATCTTAACCTTACAGCAAGAATTTTCAGGCAAGAATCCTACTATGAGTTCGACATCACTGAAAACGGTACTTATTTTGTACGTTTGCATTTCTTGGCTTTCGCCTCTTCCTCAAGTAATCTCTCCGCTGCTCTTTTTGATGTTTCGGCTTTTCCTAATATTTCGAATCCCGGATTCATGCTGTTGAAGAATTTCACTGCTAAGAATAGTACTAGCAATTCTACGATAAAGGAGTTCTTTCTGGGCATTCATCCTGGCTCATTTAGGATATACTTTACCCCTCGTGGATCGTCTTTTGCATTTGTAAATGCCATTGAAGTCTTCCTTGCCCCTGCAAATTTCAGCCCTAAGAATTACACGAGTAGTTCCCCTTTAGTGCTACATACAATTTACAGGGTGAATGTTGGAGGTCAAGAACTCAGACCAGATGAGGACACACTATGGCGAAACTGGGATTCTGATGATCTTCATCTGACGAATTCAAACCCTGGAGGGAAAGTTGGACCCTCACAGACGCCTAAGTACCAGGTGTATGAAGAGGATGGTTTCGTTGCTGCTGCTAATCATTTTATTGCCCCAGATTTAGTTTACGAGACTGCCAAAGTAATGGACAATAGTAGTAGCACTAGCAACCCATCCACTTTGTTCAACATAACCTGGTCGTTTAATGTGCGCAGGAACACTAAACATCTCGTCCGGGCACACTTTTATGACGCTGTTGGCGGAACTGCTGCCACCATTGTTTTTAACTTGTATTCAAATGGAAACTTCACTAAGAAGGTCGGTGGATCCAATTCCATTTTTCTCAACCAGTTGCCTTACTACTATGATTTTGTGGTGGAGTCTAAGGAGTCTGAACTCATTAGCATCAGCATAGGTCCTAACGCAGAAGAAACTACCACTAACAATTCCTTTCTAAATGGACTGGAAATGTTGGAAATAATGGAGGAATCAGCACCAATTCCAAATATGAAAGAGTCCAAGAGCATAAATGTCGCTGTTGTGGTTGGTTCGGTTCTTGGAGGTCTGTCTCTTATCTGCATTTTGGTTGTCGGGTTCTTGTTGGGTTTGAAATACAGAAAGGCAAAGCATGTTGAAACTTCGGAATGGTCACCAATGCCTGCATTTGGAGGAGGGAGTACCCGCAGCAGGTTCACTGAGGGAACGATTACTGGCTCCCCTATGACTTATCTAAATCTTGGGTTGAAGATATCTTTTGCTCAACTTCAGCAAGCAACGAACAACTTCGACACAAAATTTCTGATAGGCAAGGGTGGATTTGGGAACGTCTATAGAGGAACTCTATCAGATGGCAGAATTGTAGCTGTCAAGCGAGGTAAGCGACATGAACATAGTTCAGGTCAAGGGCTTCCAGAGTTTGAAACAGAGATAATGGTTTTGTCCAGGATTCGTCATCGCCATCTTGTCTCCTTAATTGGGTACTGTGATGAAAGGTCTGAGATGATATTGGTCTACGAGTTCATGGAAAAAGGGACCTTGAGAGAACATTTATATGAATCAAATTTGCCTCGCTTGTCATGGAAGCAAAGACTTGAAATATGCATTGGTGCAGCAAGGGGTCTTAATTACCTCCACAAAGGTGCAGCCGGAGGCATCATTCACCGCGATGTGAAGTCCACCAACATCTTGTTAGATGCAAAATGTGTCGCCAAAGTTGCTGATTTTGGCCTTTCAAGATCTGGTCCACTTGATGAAACCCATGTCAGCACAAATGTCAAAGGCACTTTTGGTTACCTAGATCCTGAGTACATAATGACTCAACAGTTGACAGAAAAATCAGATGTTTACTCCTTCGGCGTTGTTCTCCTTGAGGTGTTATGTGCAAGACCTGCTCTGGATAGGAATCTACCAACAGAGCAAATAAATTTAGCAGACTGGGGAATGAATTGCAAGAAGAACGGATTGCTTGAACAGATTGTTGATTCTTCACTCAAGGGTCAGATTGATCCTAGCTCGCTAAGAAAATTTAGCGAGATAGCAGAGAAATGCTTGCAAGACGATGCTTATGATAGGCCTACAATGGGTGATGTACTGTGGGACTTGGAGTACGCATTACAGCTCCAGCAAACTGCAAAGCATAGAGAGCCCCACGAGGACAGCACAATCAATGCTTCATCAGAATTCGTATTGCCAAACGTTCAGCATTTTCCTTCCCATAGCTCTACAGTTAACCAAGATGATATGACATTTTCCGGGGTGGACGAATCGGACACGGCAGGAAACGAAGTATTCTCACAACTGAAGATTGGTGATGCCAGATAAATCTGTGCAGCTTGTGAGGTATGAAAGTTAACCTTGTTCAAGTATCTATAGATTGAATAGCTATAAGTTCGGGTATGCCTTGTTAATTTTAGTCTTATCTTTGATAATTGTACTAGCATTGCTTTCCTATCGTTAAGATGGGATATGATCACATGAATTGTGTATAAGCAGAAGTTAACAAACTCTATGATAAATAAACTATTTTTCCTTTTTGGGAGTTTCATCTCATTACCCCCAGAGGAGTGTCTTACCTTCGAGATAATTTTAGGTGATATAATTTCTTTACTAACAAGACGGTATTCTAATTAAATTACTCTAATGTACGGGGAGGGATATTGAACTTGGGTGCAAAGAGACTGAACTTCTAGAGTCTCCTCACATATATTAGAGATATTACAAAAATAATGTACAATTAATATGTCGGAGGTCATTGAATACATGCTTTTGTTTATAATTGAGATTTTTTTAAGGCTTAAATGTCAAATTAGGACATAAAAATAGAATCCAAAGTCCCAACAATATAATTCTCACTCTTTCAAATGTAAAGAACTAAAGAAAGAAAGATGCAGAATATCTCAAAATATGTCATTTCCTACAACATATAACAAACCCGAATTTAAAGAACTTAGGAGATTAGTAGTTGGTCTGGATTTAATTGATAGAACACGTAAGTGTAATGGAAAAAAATTATACACCTTGCGATGGGCATCAGAATTAACTATAAGATATAATCAAACTTTACCTTAATCTGAAAGCGCAAAGCTTTATATAATACCCAGGCCTGCAAAGGAAAGTAATCCCAAACCACGTAAGCACACATCAAGAAAAACCCAAACTTAGAAAGCTACAAAAAGGTCTACACATGGACATGCACATGAGAATAAGAAAAAGAGATTTGGTACAACTCTCAAGCCCCAAACCATTACAGTGGATGTTTACAAATTTAACATGCAGCCCCTGTTCAATAATTAACACTCAAAATTTAATGTTTCGCACGTTCCAGATTTAATGTGGTATCGAAAAGTTAGTGCAATATCTTTAATTTGGCAACTCAACATAACAAAGTTAAATACAATTGAGGAAATAAAGATATGCAGAGATGTACTTACACTGAGAGAGCGGAGCAATCCAATTTAATTTTCAACACCAGTGTACGCTTGTAATATCCCTCGAATTAATTCAGAAAAGGTCACATATCTCCATAACTTACAGTCTACAAAACTAGAATTACCAACATTTTACAAAATAGGTTACTTTATCATCAGTTGATTAATAATCAATTACTTAGTTCTTTCTTTTGGTCAATAACAAACTTTGAACGTACGATAATTGACTATATATATGAAACCCAAAACCTCTGAGACGGATGGATTTACACACCCTCCATGTTTCATGTTATTGACTTGTGTGCAGCCGTGCAGGTATCAAATTTTATGCAACACCCCTCCAATATAAAAAAAGAAAGGCCACCTTTCATCCGAAAACATATCCGAACTTTTAGTATTCTTAAAATTAACCGAAATAGAGTTCCTTAATAACAGGAAACCCCCACACTGACCATGAGATGCAACAGCAAATGACAAATTTATTCGAGATACAACAGAAAACATCAAGATAATTTATTCGATAAGCTTGACAAAATATCATTGCCGGGAACAACCCCGACGATTCCAAGCCATGGACTTCCAAGGACAACAAACTTTCGACCATATTTTACAGCTGATTAGAACAAATTTCTCAACCAAGATTACCCATCTCAAACAAAGAATTGCTATCACTCATGAATACCAATAGAAGTCAATAATTCTAATCAAGAAAGGAATGACGTTACCCATATGGCAGGAACGAAATGGTACGCACCAAAAAACTGCCATAACCAACCGACGAAGTTCACCTTGCTTGCACTCTGTGGACACCGAGAAGCTGTTCACTGATCTCTTAGGTCGAGGTCCAATTTTGACAGGCTTGGCCAAAAATTGGCCGGAAAACCAATGATCACCGTTTCTTAGATCTGAAATTGAGGAAATTCGGTTACGAATCTGTAGAAACTAACTTGGGGCTTGGAAAGAGGACGGAAAATGATTCTGGGAGTTTAATTCGGCGGCCGTTGGTGACCTGTGGACGGCGGCGGTGTTGCGTGAAAGTGAAGAGGAAGAGGAAGTATATGAGAGGGAGGAACATGGTTGAGGAGGAGGAGGAGGACAAGGAGGAGGAGGAGAGCACAGAGTGCAGAGAATTTTGAGGGATTAGAGAGAATGTTGAGTCCGAGGCTGTTGACATTGTAGAGGAGGAGATGTGAGAGTGCAGAGAGATCCGACATGTTAGAGCGAGAGAGAGGGTACCGTTTGGTACGTGGGACGGGATGGAACAGAGTGGGACAAAGCGTTCCGTCCCACGTTTGGTGCGCCTAAAATGGGTGGAACGAACTGTTCCATAAGATGAGTTTTGGGTGAATTTTCGTTCCACCTCACCCCCCTGGAACGACTCGTTCCACGTCCGTGGAACCCAAAATTATAACATCTCCGTCTCCTTCTTCTTCCTCCTTGTTTCCATCCAAGGGCATTTTTGCTCCCGCTCCGTTTCGTTCCGTCCCGTCCCGTCCCATTCCATTCCGTCCCGTCCCGTCTCGTCTGCATACCAAACGATACCAGAGAGCACACATTATTTTAATCAAAGGGCACAAAAAATCTACCTTGACTTTAAATATATTAAATTATACGACACAATAACATTTATGGTGTCATTGCAAATTAATAAAAAATTTCATTGCTGACATTAGGGTACTGTTTGGTACGTGGGACGGGACGGAATAAAGTGGGACAAAGCGTTATATTCCACGTTTGGTGCTCCTAAAACGGGTGGAACGAGCTGTTCCACAAGACGAGTTTTGGGTGAATTTTCGTTCCACCTCACCCCCTTGAACGACTCGTTCCACATCCGTGGAACACAAAACTATAACATCTCCGTCTCCTTCTTCTTCCTCCTTGTTTCCATCCGAGGGCATCTTTGCTCCCGCTCCGTTCCGTCCCATCCTGTCTCATCCCGTTCTGTTTGCATACCAAACGATACCTAGAGGCACCAAAGTTATGGCTCTGTGCCCAATAATATGTTTGTGTCCACTTTTCTTAACATTGCGCACAATTCATGGTGCCCATTACAAAATGAGCATTGTTCCACCTTATTAGTGTTTAAACAGGCACAAACACCTTATTTGTGTCCCTGATTTTGTGCCTAAAGGTCATTTTTCTTGTAGAGTTAGTTGGATTCTTTCAAAAGTTGTACTAGCTCCAGTTTAAGGGTATTAAATAAATAATTGAGTCTTTAAAAGTTTTGTTGGCTTTAGCGAATGAATGATGATTGGACTCTCAAAAAATTTTGTTTGTTTGGTTATAATGAATTGACTAATTTCTAATGTTGAAAATGGGTTTCCGTATATGTGACCTTGTCTAGTGTCACTCATAAAAGATCGTGTTGGAGAATAAAGTCTCACATATATTAGAGATATTACAAAAATAATGTACAATTAATATGTCGGAGGTCATTGAATACGTGTTTTTGTTTATAATTGAGATTTTTTTAAGGCTTAAATGTCAAAATGGTCCACGTGTTATAGTCATATGGCCAATTTAATCTCTATGGTTTCAATTTGACTAATTTAGTCATTGTGTTTGTCACTGTTAGCCAATTAAGGACATTTAATTCAACATCTTTTAAAAATTCATGAAAAAAATTATATGAGATATAATTACCCTTTCTCTTTATAAAAAAATGTAAATTAATGAGAAATACATATAAGAGATAAAGTTTCTAATCTGAAAAATGATTAAGGTTGTGACATAGAAAATAAATGGGCTATGTTAGGGAAGAGGTCGGGGAATTGGGAGCAGAATAATTTTCTTTTAATTTTTAATTTTATTTCATTTTTAAATATTTTAAATCAAATAAATATTTTATAATAAGTTTATAATAAATTTATAATTTTTTTTACAGAAATTAGATGGAAATGCCCTTAATTGGCTAACAAAGATAAACACAAGGACCAAATTAGCCAAAATTGAAAATACAGGAACTAAATTGACCTAATGACTAAAACACAGAGACCATTTTAACATTTAAACCTTTTTTTAAAGAATGAAAAATATTATCATTTAGACCATCTCCAACCCTTGAGTTAAAGTCTAAATTTTTTAACAGCAGAAATGAATTTTGGGTTAAAACTCATGTTTGCCCCAAGGGTTGGAGCAAGTTCAGGTAAATTTAGAACTTAAAAATTGAGTTTTACTCTACCATCTCCAACCCTTGGCCTAAAACCTAAAATTTTTAGCCCAAAAAATTTAGGTTTTAGCTCAGAAACAATTTTTCTACTCCAACCCTTCTGGAAAAAAAATTTAGCCCCATATTATTAAAGAATGAATTTAAGCTATTTTTCATTTTTTCAATTAACTTTTTTAAAAAATTATATAGACTATCCTAAATTAATTTTATGAGCATTTTAACCTAAAAATATTTAAATTTCGATAAATTTTGAAAAATCACTAAATCAATACATGAAACTCATGAAACATTACAGAAGAATATGAAAATCATGATAGAGACGTATAAACACAAAATACATGAAACCCACAAGACACACAAAATACATATGAAGCACATACAAAAGACATGATAGAGATATATAACACATCAAACATGCGAAATACATGAAACACATACCAAAATACATACAAAACACATGATATAGATGTATAACATACCAAACATGTGAAACACATGACACACATGAAACACAGACCAAATACATACAAAACACATGAAACACAAACCTGCACATATGAAACACAAGCCTTCAATCATCCTCTATATAAACACAAGTTGAATATCAAACCATCACACAACATATTCACCAATTTTTCAACTTTCAAAGTGTTCTTGTTTCCTAAAAATCCTCAATATCTCATAAATGGGTGATAAAAGAAGGTGTAGCTTGGCAATGCAGATGACATAATACCAAGCAAGCCTTGATCATGCGAATGCAGAAATGAACAACGCAAAAGCCGAATTGGCAAACTCACTCATGCAATATGAGCACCATGCCGAATCTAGCTATCGTGGTTTTATCACGGGGCGTTCATTTGTGCAGCATGATAGAGAAGAGTGTCATGACCGAGTGATGAAATCATGAAAGATTATTTCATTGAACGTCTGAGATATACTGCCCATGATTTTCGGAGGCAATTTTAGATGAAGAGAAAGCTTTTTGAAAGCATCTTAAACACAGATGTCAATCATGACCACTACTTCGCAAGGAAGATAGATGTCGTAGGCCGACAAAGTCTATCACCTCATCAAAAGCTCACATCTACATTTTAGATGCTAGCTAATGGATGCTCTGCATACTTAACTGACGAGTATTGCTAACTTGCGGAGAGTACTGCTAGTGAGAACCTAAAACGCTTCTATAAGGCAATTGAAGCCATATATGGAGCCACATATCTCCGCAAGCCAAACCGTGAAGATTTGAAGAGGCTTTTACGCACGGCAGACAAAAGAGGCTTCCTTGGCATGATAGGAAGTCTCGATTGTACGCATTAGGAGTGGAAGAATTGTCCTACTACTTAGGCTGGCCAATTTAAGGGCCGACACAACAAGCTAACCATCATGCTCGAGGCTGTGGCGTCTTACGACACATGGATTTAGCATGCATTCTTCGGCGTTCTTGGATCAAATAACGATATCAACATTCTTTGGTCTTCTCCTCTGTTCGATGATGTTGTAAATGGATAGGCACCGGAATAGGGGTACAAGGTAAATGGTAATAAACATGAGCTAGGTTACTACCTAACCGATGGTATTTATCCTAGTTGGTCTACCTTTGTAAAAAGTTATTTTCATCCCAATAGTACGAAGAAGAAATTATTTTCGCAGAGGCAAGACTTTTATAAGAAGGATGTGGAGAGAGTGTTCGGGATTCTACAAGCTTGATGGGCCATTGTTAGAAGGGTTACACGATTGTGGCATGTCAAAGACCTTCATTCAATCATGATGACGTGCATAATTGTGCACCACATGATTGTGGAAAATGAGTACGTCAAAATTGAAGAAGATTCTAACGAAGACGTGGATGACGACCAACCAACACATGCAAAAGCTATGGCAAGAGATGTTGAATATCTCATTGCAACCACATACGAGACCCGATAGGATAAGGTCATGAGACGTTTAAATAGAATTCAAGTTCCTCAAGGTCATGACACACTCCGTGAGGATTTGGTTGAGCATATATGGTGCCAAGAAGATGAACGTTGATGATGTTGGTATATTATTGTGTTAAATTTAAGTGTGCTATTTTTTTATTTTATGTAATAATTTTAAGTGTACTATGTTGGTATTTTCTAGTAATAAATTGAAGTGCCTTCTTATGCAAAGTCTTTTGTCTAGTACATTGTCAAAATTATTGAATGTCGTTTGAATTATTGAAGGCATCAATTGTACATCAAAGTGTGCAATAATAAGTACAATAATTATTGAAGGCATCTAGATTAATAGAAACGATAATTAATAAGCCTTAAATTTAATACACACGACAATTAATAAGCCACATAAACTTAAGACAAACGACCATTCATAAACCACATTAACCACATAAACTTAATACAATCGATAATTCATTAAACTACATAAACTTAATAATGATATCCACCATCTTGATTTGGTGGTGGACTTGGGATATAGCCTTGAGATGAATCATCATCTTAAAATATACTCCTTGTGGTATACTTTCACAAAATTTCATTTTGCTTACCACGTAAGAACTTCTTCCTCTCTTGAGTGTATTTGTTGATGTCCTCTATCATGAAATTAACTTAGAACCTCTCTTGCTCCCTATCCCCTTCTTCCTTTATGGCCAAACACATCTGGGCCGCTTCTTGCTGAGAGCTATGGCTTTCGGTCAATCTTGCAAATCCGGAAGCAATTTGTGCACTCATCGGATCTTGGGACTTCCCTTTTCTCTTTGCTTCCTTTTTCTTATCTCTTCCCAGGGGCCTTGCAAAAGAGAAGTTGCTGTCAATTCAGCACCACTTTCATTGACACCTTCATCTCCATCATTTTTCGATGCAACTTCACATTGAAATAATCTTTCCTATTATTGGTCTGCATTGGTTCCCCACCTCGGACAATCCTTAAGGACGTCCCAAGCATGATGCAACTTAAAAGGTTGTCCTTTTGGTGTTACTCTTGTCTTGTAAATTGTCATTGCTTTGTCACCCTATGCAAAAAATACAAAAAAACAATTAGTTGCAAAATAATATTATGTACATGACAAATAAAATATCAGCAAGAAACTCACAATTTCTGCGGCACTCCTTACACTAGCCATGTCAACCACGGCTCTCTCCAAGCTTCCCTTTCGTAAAGTGCACGCTTTGTTGATAACCTTCCACCGATCGTAAACACCACCACCTTCCCTTTGCCCGGCGTTAATGTTTTCATGGATCTTATCAACGATTTTACCCCACAAAGCCTTTTTATTTTGGTTTGTGCCAACAACACCATCTTCGCTAATAGAAACTCATGCCAAACGTAAAGCAACATCTTCCTCACAGGTCCAATTACGACATCTAACATGCTCTTTTGCCATCTTAGAAAAATTGAAAATGGGAGAAAGAACAATTGGAAGAATTGTAGGAGAAAAGTGAGTTTTGTGTGGATGTT